AAAAAAAAAAAAAAAATAGCCAGGCCTGGTGGCAGGTGCCTGTAATCCCAGTTACTCAGGAGGCTGAGTCAGGAGAATCGCTTGAGTCTGGGATGTGGATGTTGCAGTGAGCAGAGATCGCGCCACTGCACTCCCGCCTGGGTGACAACAGTGAGACTCCGTCTCAAAAAAAACCCAAAAACCTGTGTGGTACTGGCATAGGGATAGACACAGATGAGTGGAATAGAATTGAAAGTCCAGAAATATACTCATACATCTATGAGTGTCATGCATTTAATTGTAGCCTGCTAAAGATATACTGAAGTCTGGTCAGGCGCAGTGGCTCATGGCTGTAATCCCAGCACTTTGGGAGGCCGAGGCAGGTGGATTGCCTGAGGTCAGGAGTTTGAGATCAGCTTGGGCAACATGGTGAAACTCCGTCTCTACTTAAAAATACAAAAATTAGCTGGGCATAGTGGCAGGCACCTGTGATCCCGGCTACTCAGGAGGCTGAGGCAGGAGAATCCCTTGAACCCAGGAGGCGGAGGCTACCATGAGCCGAGATCGCGCCACTGAACTCCAGCCTGGGTAACAGAGCAAGACTCTGTCTCAAAAAAAAAAAAAAAGAAAGAAAGTAAAAAAAAAGATATGTTGAAGTCATAACCCGTAGTGCCTCAGAATGTGACCTTTTAAAATTTTTTTTATTTATGAAATACATGGCTTTATTCAGAAATAGAGTTTACAGATGTGATCAAGTTAAAATGAAGTTATTAGGGTGGTCCCTAATCCAATTTAAGCAATGTTTTATTAAAAAGGGAAATTTGGAAGATGAAAGCAGAGGTTTCAATGATACAACTAAAAGCCAAAGATGGCCAGCAAAATACTAGACGTGACAGGACAGACATGGAGCAGGCTCTCCCCCACAGTCCTCAGAAGAAAATGACTTGGTCGATGTCTTGATTTTGGATCTCTAACTGTGAGACAAGAAATCTCTGTGATTTAAAGCCACACAGTTTTTGGTACTTTGGCAGCCCTAGGAAACTAATACAATAGGTCCAGCACAGGGGCTCATGCCTGTAATCCCAGCACTTTGGAAGGCCGAGGCAAGGCAAGAGGACTGCTTGAGCCCAGGAGTTCAAGATCAGCCTGGGCAACATGGCAAGACCCCATCTCTAAAAAAAAAAGAAAGTCAATGAAATTTTATATTTTCTCGGCAAAAATCATGCCAGTAAGAAAGGAAGCAAACAGAGGGACCCAACATAGGATTAAAAAGGAGTTTCATTTCTAAAAAAAAATAGGCCGGGCGCAGTGGCTCACGCCTGTAATCCCAGCACTTTGGGAGGCCGAGGCTGTCGGATCACGAGGTCAGGAGATCGAGACCATCCTGGCTAACACGGTGAAACCCCGTCTCTACTAAAAATACAAAAAACTAGCCGAGCGAGGTGGCGGGCGCCTGTAGTCCCAGCTACTCGGGAGGCTGAGGTAGGAGAATGGCGTGAACCCAGGAGGCGGAGCTTGTAGTGGGCTGAGATCGTGCCACTGCACTCCAACCTGGGCAACAGAGCGAGACTCCATCAAAAAAAAAAAAAAGAGGAAAAATGGGAAATTTTATGTAATTTTACCACAATAAAAAACAAAGTCGGCTGGGCGCGATGGCTCACACCTGTAAGCCCAACACTTTGGGAGGCCGAGGTGGGCCACTCACCTGAGGTCAAGAGTTCGAGGCCAACATGGTGAAACCTTGTCTCTACTAAAAATACAAAAAATTAACCGGGTGTTGGGGAGTGGGAAGTGGAGGTTGCAGTGAGCCGAGAACTTGCCACTGCACTCCAGCCTGGGCAACAGATTATCCCAGCACTCTGGGAGGCTGAGGAGGGAGGATCACTTGAGTCCAGGAGCTCGAGACCAGCCTAGACAACATAGTGAGACCCCCCCGCTCCAAAAAATTTTTTTAATTAGGCAGGCATGCTGGCCTGGCTAATTTAAAGTAGTCCCAGCTACTTATGGGGCTAAGGCAGGAGGATTGCTTGAGTCCAGGAGGTCGAGGCTATAGTAAGCTATGATCACACCACCACACTCTAGTCTTGGCGACAGAGTGAGACCCTGTCTCAAAAAAATAAAAATAAGGAAGTTCAAACTGGGCTCAGGAAGAGGATCAGTCCAAAGTACAAGTCACAAGCAGGGTCTGCTTGGGTCTGGGGAGAAGGCAGCATTAGATTGGATCAGAGTTCAGGGACTAAAGACAGAATTCATTAGACGGCGTTCAAGAGTCATGAGGGGGCCATGGGTCATGCTGGGTGAGGTCGGATCAGAGAGCAGTCAGGCCTCACCTGAACATGGCGATGAGCAAATTGACCAGCAGGATGTTGGCCACGAGCAGGAAGATGACGAGGAGTAGCACCACCAGCCAGTTGGCATACTGGGAGACACAGACACCCGCCTGGGTCCGGGGAGGGTGTGCCCAGAAGCCGGGCTCCGACGAGCAGTTGCTGTGCTCCATGAGGGCCACTGTGAAGAGAGACATTCAGAGATCGGGGGAGGGGGACAGAGACCTAAGAAAGACAGAAAGACTGCCAGGTGCGGTGGCTCATGTCTGTAATCCCAGCACTTTGGGAGGCAGAGATGGCCGGATCACCTGAGGTCGGGAGTTCGAGACCAGCCTAACCAATATGATGAAACCCCATCTCTACTAAAAATACAAAAATGTTAGCCAGGCATGGTGGCACGAGCCTGTAGTCCCAGCTACTCGGGAGACTGAGACAGGAGAATCACTTCAACCCGGGAGGCGGAGGTTGCAGTGAGCTGAGATCGCGCCATTACACTCCAGCCTGGGCAACAGGAGCAAAACTCCATGTAAAAAGTAAAGTAGAGGTTCCTCTTTAAAGACTTTCCTCCCTATCTAATTAAGAATAAACAGTAACTTCTCTTAGAAACAAAATGTATTCACAGACCTGTGCTAACATTCTTAAATATCTGTTAGCCGTAATAAAGAAATCAATGCACTCTACGTTCTTAGCTCCCACAATTTAGCCTAAATATTTGCCCTGGCATGCTCATACTGGTCCAAGCAAGCATTAGGTCATAGCCTGTTCCTCCTCCTTATTTAAAAGTGTTTTTACCTTTCTCAGCATTCCACAAGTTACCTCCTCCTTCCTTTGTTCTCCTCTGCCTTTGCTTCTTTTAAAAAGTTCTAAGTTACCAGCCAATCAAGACAAATACAAAATGTAAAGTCTGGTTCCAGCCAATAAAAACCAGACACAGCAGCAAGATAGACGCGTCAGGTTATAAATGACCCTATCTCCTTTGTTCCGTGTATTCTCGTGGCAGAACTGCTGGCGAGTGTACACTTTCTACAAAAAATTAAAATGGCCTTACTAAAAAAATTAAATTTATGTTCAAGTACTATTTCTTTACGACACCAAAAAACAAACATTTCTAACATCCATCTAAAAAAAAAAAAAAAAAAAGACAGACAGACAGAAAGACAGGGGATGGAGTGGGCAGAGACCCAGAGAGAAGATGATGGGGAATATAGGGATCCAGAGATCCAGAGAAAGAGGGAGACAGAGACTCAGAGAGACCGAGACATTTTCTTAGAAACAGGGGTACAGAGACCCAGAGAACGGGGACAGAGACTCAGAGGGAGGCTGTGAGGCCCTGTCATCCCCCCCTACCGTCCATGTCCTCCTGGGGGATCTGCCCGAAGATCTGCAGGTAAGGACGGTAGAAGACGCGGCGCAGGATACTTGGGAGATCACTGTCCCGTGGCCTTAGGAGCCCCTCCGTGGCCACGCCATAGGCCACCAGCCACACGCCGAGGAAGAAGAGGAAGAAGAACACGTCCTTCATCTGTGGGGAGATGTGGCTGAATCTGGCCCCGCCCTTCCCCACCCCTTATCCCAAAACCACGCCCCTTGCTCCCCAAAGTCACACCCTTTCTCCACAGACCACTCCCTCCCCAGCCCCACCCCTTTCCCTATGGCCCCGCCCACTTCCACCCCGCCCCTCCCTCACCATCTTGTTCACGATGACTATCTTGGGCCCCAGCTGTTTGTTGACCGTGAAGATGTGCAGCAGCCGCACCGTGAAAACCATGAAGTCAATGCAGAGGATGGTGCGGCCCAGGTGGTACAAACCCGGGGTCAGCCTGTGGCGTGGGGAGATGCCGCAAGGGTTACTCAAGTGTCACAAGACGCCAAGGAAAATGGGAGTCTTCCCAATGCCATGCTTCAGATGAAGCTGCAGCCTCCACCAGGCAGGACCAGGACCCTCCCAGTCACCCGGGGTTTACTCAGATTTACTCAGAGGCGAGCTGGTCCACGCAGGGCACTGGCACCCATTTGAAAAATGGCTGCGCCTATTAAGTAATGACTGAATGGGCCGGGCGCAGTGGCTCACGCCTGTAATCCCAGCACTTTGGGAGGCCGAGGCGGGCGGATCACGAGGTCAGGA